TGTCACCTTCCACGTTGCCTTCCATTTTAAGAGCTGTATTTGTCTCTCCCTCTAGCTCGTAAGCAGGAGATTATCAAGGTTACTGAGCAGTTGATTGAAGCTATCAACAACGGTGACTTTGAAGCTTACACGTAAGTTTTCTCATTTTGGAGGGAGTGAGGAGAGTTGATATATTTCAAACTGTATATGTAAATATGCATATTTATATATGATTGTGTGTGTTTGTATTTATGGATTGTTGAAGTTAATTCTCAGGTGCCCCCAAGAAACAGAGGACATTGATTGCTGTTTTACCCTGGCTTTACACAAGCCTGGCTGACAATTTCAGAGGAGGTGCCTGGTGTAAATCCAGTGTACTACTCTGCCAAGACAGGATCATGATCATTAAAGCCTCTGTTGTCTGAATGTCAAGTGGAAACTTATTCCAAACTCTTATCTAAATTTTGTCAGTTAAAAAAAAAATTAAATCTTGCTTAAATAATGGTGTGAGACATTAAAAATACCCTTTGTATTGTGCAGAAGCAGTTGTCAGAGTTAAAAGTAAAAATTCCTAGTTGTAATACCACTGACTCATGGGGCCATCTTCGGCAGCCTTTCTTTTGGTCAAAAGATGATTTATATGAAATCTAGTCCATCTGAAGTAAGCTGCCAAAATTGCTAATTTCAGTGAAACCAGAACCACATATTAATGTGAATTAATAGAATTATCTCCCCGTTTAAGTTCTGTTCCTTTCCAGTACGATGTCACAGGTAAGTAAAACGTTGGATGAGAACAAGGAAATTTTGAAAGTAATCCCTCTAACATTGTGTTACATAATTGCATGTGTTAAGTACAGAATTTGTTTTTTCCACAGAAAAATCTGTGATCCAGGCCTTACATCTTTTGAACCTGAAGCTTTGGGTAATCTAGTAGAAGGGATGGACTTTCACCGGTTTTACTTTGAAAATGGTAAACATTCCTTTTTCGTCTCTGTGAATCTTCATCTGTTCCTTGTGTTTGTGTTTCTCTGGTCCAATCAGCATTTTCTGTTTGGGAGTTAGTTGATTTGGGCAGGGAAAAGAGGTGCTATTTTTTCATTCAGAGTTCTGCTATATATGTTTCTCCATTTCCGCTGCACTTATTCACACATCATAGGGCACCTTGGATAGCGGAGGAAAGTTTATAGTCAAGCTATATAAAAGAAAAAAACAAACAAACTGTAGATAAGTAATTCTCGTATGTTTTTTTTTCCATTGGGGGAAAGAGAACATCATGCTGTGAGTATACTTAAAAGAAAGGTCACTAAATCATGTGATTACAGTGATTGCAGCTAACAGCTAGCACTTGCAGTGCATGTGTGATATGTTGGGGAAGACATTGTAGTCACTCAGTCTGTACTGCTGAGGCTCTGATCAGGTGTCTCTTTTGTATTGGTTTCTGTATGCTTATATGTATATTTTTAATACATTTTTAAAAATATATTAAAACCTCAATATGTATGCTATATACCTATTAATCATGTTAGCTCTAAGAAAGAAAAATTACCCATAAAGTGGCTTTAATAAAGTTTTGGAGGATCAGGTAATATAGGTAACCATTTTACAGCAGACATGACTCAAAAGACAATAAAATAGTGTAAATTAAGATATCGCCCCATCCAGTAATTTTTGAGAAATGTTGAAGCATAAAATGGGATTATTGTATTCCTAAATTCTCTTCCATTTCCAAAGCAGCATTATGTTTCTTTTCATTACCACTGCTTTTTCGTTTTCATTTATATCAGCACTTAATAAAATATGTCACAGGAGCAAGTTAAAAACTGAATTATTTTAACCGAAACATTAAGTGCAAATGTCAGTAGATGCTAGAGACACAGCAGTGAAACTCAACTACTGGGAACACTGAATTGGGAAGCTCAAGGTGGTGTGTGTCCCCCCTTTATTTAATCAATGTCTATTGTTTAACATGGGTTAAACAATATATACTGTTAAACATTTGTTTGGTTTCCTTATAGGAAAGGGGAAAACATTATGCTGTGACTGTGCTCATTTCTCAATGTACTTGAGTTAGTTGTCAGTAATGATTATCAGTAAACAATAATTATTACTTTATACCTGCTAAGCTTGATGTTTTTGTTTTGTAAGGTGGGGAGATGAGTTACTTTGGCTTACACAGAGAAAATTTAATTTATCCTTTGTGTGTGTGTGTGTTTGTTTCCTAGCTTTATCCAAAAGTAATAAGCCAATCCACACGATTATCCTCAATCCTCATGTCCACCTTGTGGGTGACGATGCTGCTTGCATTGCGTATATACGGCTCACACAGTACATGGATGGAAGTGGGATGCCAAAGACTATGCAGTCAGAAGAAACGCGGGTCTGGCACCGTCGCGATGGGAAATGGCAGAATGTTCACTTCCACCGTTCAGGGTCACCAACAGTACCTATCAAGTAAGAAACAATTCCGACCACAAGCTTAAACAATGTAGGTCAGACCAGATAGTCTAATAGCTGCTTTTGGCCTTAAAAATTATGAAACTGTTCTCTTGATGGTGTAATTTCTTGTGGTCATTTATGCAGTGTGTATTATATTCAGTAGTGTGCATATAGTATTGGTGCAAATATTTTTAAAATAATGCTTTTATTGTTGTTTTCAACTGTCATGTCCACTGATCCAACTCAGTCTCTGAACTGACAGCTTGAAGAGCAGAAAAATGTTTCAATGTAGATAAGGCTTGATCCAAGTCACACAAAACAGGATTGGAAAACCTGAAACAGAATTTCAGGAAGACCTGAAAAAATAAAAAGCAATAGGATACGTGGAGCTGTTAGAGCTGACTGGAAAGTCTCAAGGAAAAATGTATCATTTTTCTGAAAAATTGAAGTTTGAGTAGTATTTATTGTGAATTCCAGCCGTCTCTGGTTATTCAGGCCTGGTTACATTCACTGCAAGTTGATTTTGAGCCAGTTTACGTATTTACTTTGTAAATTAAGTCATACAAGTATCTATCGCATTCTTACCTCTTCCCACACTCCTTGCTTAACTGCCAAACAGTCTGATAGTTTTGACATCTATGTGGGTAAGCATCAGATCTCTTCCATCATCATTTTTCTCTTTTGTTCATTTGGTCATCTTTGCGTGCCCTCTCGTACCCTCGGAGTCATGCCGTGACTCAGCACGCACAAACGTGAATTCCTTGAGCCAGATTTTCTGCAGTGGAAATGACAACACGCTCATAGCTGCGATAACAAGATAAAGAGTCATGGCTTCTTCAAGAGGTTCTGCTCAAGTCCTTTGCTTTTCTTCTGCTTGTAGCCATCAGTAATGCTGCCGTGTCCCTCAGAGCCCAGCCTCACTGACTTCTCACTTAGGTAGGCTATTTCCAAATCAGACAGTACTGGTATGGGCCTTGGTTCAGGTGCAAGCCCTCTGTATAGGATATAATGACATTTGTGTGGTGTGTCTTCATGTGGGTAGTGGCTGAATTTCCCGGTGTGGATGATAAGGGCTTAGATTTCATCTTTCCAGTGACATCATGTTCCATAATTTACTGCTTGTGACACTATTCTGCCATATGAAATAATACTTTATCAAGTTAGGAACATGATAGAATGAAGATTTATATTTTATTTTAAAATGTTAAACCAATGGAAGCAGGAACTGCGTCGTCCTTTGATTTTCACATTCCAGCTGCACTGACAGTGTTTAAGCAGATAATATTGAAGGAGTAGTTACATTTTCGTGAAATGCAGTGTTATGCAGGTTTTTGATGTTACAGAGTTTTTTGTCAAGGTGTCTGACCTGGCTATGTCTAGAGCCAAAAAGCATAAGTGAAACAGGTTCACCTGTCCCAGTGCATCCTGCACATTCAGTGTTCATAGCAGAGTGGCATGAATTGGACTGGAAAATTATTTAATCTTTTCCTTGGAGGTTTTGTTTTCCCTCTTTTTTTAAGAAGGGTTTTTTTAGGGGGGAGGTGACTTTTTTTTTTTTTTAGCTTAACTAAATTTGTAGGAAACAATCCTAAAGAAAAAAAGGTAATTTATGACACTCGGACACCAACAGCAGAAGGCAACAAAATAGCCATCATATTACTATTTTAATGGAAGATTACAGGAATTATTGGGCAAATTCTATAATAATTATTCCAGTATAGAGATATACTGAATACCTTCTGCAGCTTTTTTTTTGAGGCACAGTGTTGTAACAGGAGCCTCAGTACTTTGTTCTTGTAACGTGTACATGTGTGATGGGCTGCTGCGTGCTGGGACACACGCTGCTTCTACGGACATTTGTCAGAGGTAGTTTCTCTGGAATATAAAGGGCAGGCACTGTGCATCTAGCTGCCACAGAGAAACTCCTGACCCTTCACACTGCACGTTTCAAGGGAATGCAGTCATTCATAGAGATCTGGGATTTGCCTTACAGAAGCAGTGGCAGTATTTAGGACTCGTGTAATGTCAGTTCTTTACGGCTGCTCCTGCTCTCTAGTAAAGGTAAGGTTTTATACGACTGCTAAGAATGGAAGGAGAAAAAGCTGAGAGGTAGTTTTTTTCAGACTGCAGGATTGTGTCTATGTCAGTGGGTGTTCTGAGCCTATGGGGTCAGACAGAGGAGATTTCAGGATTGCGAGAGTGTTGTATCCAAGCTGAAAAGGTCACAGAGGAGGAGTAGCGGCTCAAAGCCTTAGAGCATGGCTTAGGCTTAAGGAGAGATGCTCCAAGATTGCAATATAGCCCTAGATACGTGGACCCTCTGTAGCACTGGCAGCAGTGTCACATAAATCCTTTACCTAATCCTTACCTTGAACTCAGAGGGCTTTTTTGGACTTGCTCATATCACTGTTCTAAAATAGCATTCATTTGCTGGTTAGAAGCCTTACTTTCCAGTCTAAGTGTAGTCGTATTCATTGTGTCCTTGATGATTCTTATTTCATCATTGTTCTCCTGTATTGGGGATCGGTATGCAGACATGAGCTGTTTTGTATGAAGGCTGATTCTGGTACCCCTGTTCTCGTAGGGTAAATAAACAATGCTAACTTGGTTGGCTTTGTTCGATAGCATCTTCCTTTTTCCTGGCTACCTTAATATAAGCTCCTCACTGTCTTTTTTGGTTTGAGGTTTGTCTTTTCATTAGCTTGAGTTCTTCTGAAATCCTGCATACAATTATGGTCAGGACTTAATTTAACTTCCCAATGTCTTTCTTTTAGCTGTTGAGAATGCCACACCTGCTATGTATGTTCTGGCATGATTTTGTCATCTGCATCGCATTTGCAGATCATCTAGCACAGCCGTGTATTTATCCTCAACTGTCATTTCCAACCAATGACTATACAGAAACTTTCCTGAGTGTGCAGCTTTGCACTTCCTATTATTACATGTAATATTTCTGGGTTACCTAGTCCTCAAGGTTATTTGGGTCTTCTTGCACAATATTCCTATTTTCCCTTGTATTTATAGTTCCTTCCACCTAAGTGTAAGAATAGTACATGAAATCAGTTGTACCGCTTATGCTCAGGTCATTGGCAAAGGCTGGAGAGTCTCCTGTAGGCTGATAGTTCCCCTTTCAGCCCAAGCATTGTCATTTTTCTTTTTGTGATTTTACGTATTCTTCCCTCAATCCTCATCTTCTCAAGTTTAACTGGTAGATTCCCATGTAGTGCCATGCCAGAACTCGCCTTCTGCAGCCTATTCTGACCATCTTTTAGACTGTCTTGAACTTCACCTTTACTTTTCCCAATCAGAGCAGCAGAGTACTAATAACTCAATTTTGGAAAACTTCAGAAGAAATTTAATTAAAATGTTGTTCCAGATTATCCTTTGTTTCTTTTCTTGTATTTGAAATGTATACAGTCTACAGCTATTTATTTAATTCTTACAAATGCACAGTAGTTAATAATGGCACTTCCATAGCAAAAAAAAATCTTGCACATAATGTCTGAAGAAGAATCACAAATCTAATAAACTTCCAAAAGCAATTATAGCTGTGATTTGCTTTTGCAAACATAGTATCCTAGACTGTGTCAAATCAGTTGCTGCAAGCACAGTAGCGTATTTGTTTTCAGGACTACAGTGATGAGTGTGCATAAATCTAAGGAGAGAACTGAGCTCGTTGGTAGCTATAGGTATATGGAAATGTTTCCTTATGGCAGATAACTTATTTGGAAATGAAAATGAGCAAAAATGTATATTTGGTTTATAAATAAACTTTATTTGTATTTTTTGCTTTGAATCAGACCAGACAAACTTTGATTTCTGTCTTGTCCCTTGTTTCTCTCTATTTGAGTGATATGACTGATGGTAGGAAATCTCTCTCTGTATTCCTTGTTCTTAAGAACTTGTGCTGATGTGTTTCTGCAGAGCTGTGTCTGCATATACATGAAGAGGGGACCTGCATGATACAGGCAGTCAAAGGGCTGTTGGACCTAAAACTGACTTCCAAACCTAAATTCAGACCTGAGGGTCCCAGACCTGAGGGTCCCAGGCTTATATTCCCTCATTTATCACACCTTACACCTTCTTACATTTTTGTAAGTGAAATACTAAACAGCAGGAAGACTTAAGAGTTTGTTCTGTGTTTGTGCAGTGCCTAGCACAGCGGGATCCCAGTCATGACTTCGGCCTCTAGATGCTACGGTAATACAAATTATATTATAAGCTGAGTTAGTTAACTACCTGCTTACACATTCCTTTTCTTTAATTTTCTCTTGGCATATGGCTCTAGCATGTCTTGCATGTAATTGACATCTGATTCTTCCTTGCTACTTGGTTCAATGTTTTATGAGAATCTCAATCTGTGGCAGTGTCTGTGTGTAAAGGAAGTAGTTTAAACAGATTCTCATCTGAATTCTGCCCTCTCTCCTTTGAGAAGTTGATTAAGGCACTTTGGCTTCCTGCCTCAGTTTCCCTTTTTTATTTTAACAGCCTCTCTGGCATGTTGTAAAGATTGACAGTGTCTGTAAAGTGGTTTGAAAAATAAAAGAATGCTTTGCCTGGCATTTGTTGTTTTGGTTTTTTCCACTTGATTTTCCTCACAATATTGTATTAAATAATCCAGGGAAGATTTTTTTCTTTAATAGTATTGGCTAACACTTGAGCATGTATTGTTATCTGATGGTGATGCTACTTCAGTAATGGCAATCTGTTTTTTTTCTCCTTCCTCCTAGCTAAAAATATCAGCGGTGCCACTCTTGCATTTTCTGTACCCAACGCACCTGGTTGATTACCATCTTGGCCATCCCGTTCTCTTCATGCATGTTTCTGAGTGCATGAAGTTGTGAAGGTTCTTCATGTAACACATTTGTGATGCACCATGTTGCTGTATACTCCATCTGTACACTGTTAACATTTCAACAAAGGTGATGTTCCATGCAAATAGAGAATAACAAGGCATAAAAGACAAAATAAATATTTGATAGCAGTAGATACAGAATACATTTGTCACTTTCTCCATTTATGCCAAGTTTTGACAGATAACTTTAAAAACTTCTGTTTATTTAAAAAAAAAAAAAGAAAAAAGCAACAAAAAAAAAAAAGAAAAAGTACATTTTACCCTCTTTTTTTAAGAACTGTTTTTTGACTCTTCCTTTTCCCCTGAGTCCCTGGATTTTACTTTGGTTCTGGTAGGAATGGTTAGGATTTCCGCTGGCAGCTCTGTTACTGTAAAACAGATTTTTATTACAGCATGTAGATGGATGAAATCGCTGATAAATGTGGAAGTGATAATATCTTGGCTTTGTACCAGCTGAAGCCTTCTTAGTTTATTAGTCTGTGTAAACTGGAAAAATCTCATCCTTTGCTGGCTTGGTCAATTCAGAATTAACTGTTGATGTTTTGGCAAGCAAGCAGCTTCTTTTTTTCTTTTGAGTCTTTACCTTTGCTTTCTCACTATGCTAGCTGAAAATTTCTGTAGGATGATTAAGCAAAATTAAAAGTTGTAAGGAACTAAGTGATGATTGAAGGGGCAGTTTTTGAGGATTAAAATGGAAGAATAGAAAAAGATTCCCAGTGTCAGTTCAGAACACAGACTTTGTAACAGGGACTGTTTTTGCTTCCCTTATGTCGCTGTGAAAATATATCCTTGCAAGCATATAGGTTTATTCCCTTCCATTTTTAATAGAAAAATACAGGGATCAGTTACTTCTTTTTTTTTTTTTTTTTTGTTCATTGTTCTGTTACCAACAGGGCTAACTGTTTTCTGCAGTGCTGTATAGTGCATGGTATCTCAATCAATGTTCTTTTTAGCAGTCAAAAATTTACAACTCGGCAGCCTGAAGTTTTTAAAATGGAAAAGCTTCCTAATTTGTATAATTTCACCTTTATGTGTTGGTTACTAATCAAAAGCAGTTCTTACACATTTTGATGTTGTTACTAGTGGATGTATGGTAGATGGACTTAAGCTTCTCTGATAATTACTACATGATTTTAAACAATATATATTTAAAATAAGCATCTACAATAAATGTGTTGAGCCATATTAACCTGCCAATGGGATCTGTGAAAAAAGTAATGGCCTCATTTTTTTTCTCTTTTTTTTTTTTTTTTTTTTGGTGAAGCGGCTGTAAGTGGCATAACTGTATTTAAAATTAACAAATTAGGTGTAGGGTGTTTTTTTTTTTATACTTCTAACATAGCATGTGGTGTTGACGTATTACTGTAGACCAAGTTTGTCTTCCACACCAAGACGTGAGGAAATTGTGATTTGTTCTCTCCACCACAACTGAATTATACACTTCTGTCATTTTGGAACACTGCAGTTTACCATGGGACACAGTGTACATATCTCTTGCCATAATGGTAAATGATTGATATATTTAAGGATTAATAAATTTGTGATTTCTGCTGACATGATGCTTGTGCTTGCGTTTTAATTTCACAGTTGTTACTTTTGCATTGCAAAAATGTGTAGCGTCTGTTTGGATTAAGAAGTCAAACACACAGAATACACTCTCTTACGAGCCAAATTTGCAGTTTGAAAATAGGAGTGTTTGCTTTCTTGTTTTGTCTTTTGGTTAGTTCTTAACTACCTTTCCTGAGAACCTGATTACACACTGTTTATGCTGTACTTTGTTGATAGATTTTGCACATACCTTGTATTTGTAGGTCCATATTTAGAAATGTTTCAGGCACTTTGCACATTTCTATAGCTACCTGACTATTTTTCATATGCTCAGCCTGTAACAAAAGATGCTATAAGAACAGTTATTGTATGTATAGAGTTCCAAACCTTGAAATGGCACTAAAGTTGTTAGGATATAAAATATTTTACCAGTTTAAAAGCTTTCATATATGACTGTAATGATTTTTAGGCTGTCTTAACCTGTGCTGAGCCACATCTAAAAACAGTCCTTTATTCCAGGAGAAAAGAGGGACCAAGGGGGTGGAGGAGAGGAGACAACTTCTAACTTTCACGGGTCGTGAAACACCGAGCTGGATCATTTCTCTGGTTCTGTGCCAGGGGCAGCATAGTTGCGAGCCAGACCTGTAGCAGCAGCGCTGATGTGGCGGTGAGCCAGGAGGTACTGCCTGTTGAAGGAGCAACAGAGTACTCCTCTTTCTGTAAAAAATTCATTGCTTCCTTTTGGGTGGCATTTTGCTATGTATTCATAAACAAAAATAGTTATGAGATAGCTCAGAGGTTTGGAATGTTTTGGTAAACCTCAGAGGAAGCAGAAGTGGTTTAGTCTGTTGGGAGGTTTTATATTTTGTCATATCACTTCTACTTACTTTGTTTACTCATTTTTTCCACTAAGTGCTATTCCAGAAATCAGTTTGACTTCCATTTTAACAGTGCGCCTGCAGTAAGCTCTTTGACAGCAGTGGGATTGGTACTAATTTCAGGTATAGAGATAAGAAGAGAGATCAGTGTATAAAGCACAGTGAGGAGAAGGAGGGTGGGGAGAATACACTTGCTAAATATCAGGTTGAAGATTTGGGAGGGGGCGATTTTTTTTTTAATTACTTTATTGTTGTGGGTGTCCTTTTATAGCACAAATAATAATGCTGCCTCCTGGTGGCTTTTTGTAATGATGTTTTCTATTTAGGAGTGCACAAGAAGATGGTATTTGTTCTGAACAGAAAGGAACCCAATGCTTTCATGTGTTTGCCTTTTTAATGTGAGTAAGGAACACTGAATATTTCACAGGCTGAAAATGTCCGTTCGCTGGGTCTTGAATATACACTATACACATACCTAGAAGAATTGGATTAATTCCATTTTCTGAAAATGGGCTCCCAGGACACAGTTCAGAAAAATAAACATCTGTCTCCTAGAGTTGTATATTAAATCTGGATTTCATTGTTTCAAAGATTAACTTTACTGTTTCTTGAGGGTGTTATTAATCCTTTGTAATGTATCACCTCCTTGGACTGTGTGCTCACAGAAAAGACAATTATTTCGTTCATCTCAAGGCTTTTCTTTCTTTTTAAATTTGTATAGTTGTACTTTATACATAACTTATCTTGGGAAAAGACCGGTAGTCAAACAATGAACAGTATTGGGCGGAGAATTGATCTAAATTGCTTCAGGAGATTCAGTTTCTTTCTTCCTAACAAATTATTGGTAAAATACAGACAGCTGTGAGTGAAATGCAGTGGGTTAAAAGTTCAGTGCTGCAAGGTCCAGCTGCTGAATGCCTGGTTTCTGCAGGGAGAGCCGCTGTAGGAGGGGCCTGACATGCCTGCAGAGGAGTTCAGGGAGGTTTTGATCCCCATGAGAGGGAAAACTGCTCTATCCTGAGGACTATCTATGCCTCGTATGAAAGGAATCCTGTGTATTGCAAACTAGAAGCCTCTCCTCTCCCTTCCTTCTCTTGCACAGATACCCATGGCTGAGCAGAACAAGTGGGAGTGTTGCAGGATCTGCTTCCAGGACAGCGTTCGTGTACAGCGTTCGTGTAAAATGAGGAGGACACAGCAATTTTGCATGCTCGTAGGCTTCAGAACAGCAGCACAAGGCTGCTTGTTTCCAGCGTGTTCTTGTCCAGACTGTGAGGCCAGGCAAAAGGCACTGCAGACAGTAAGTTTGGGGATGAGGACATTTAATCACAGTCTGAGGGGAGAAGAATCAGTGCACACAAGACATGCTGGTAGAAAACAGGGTTTGCAAGGGGAAGAGATAGGAGAGCAGTACTTCAGTGCTTACAGAAATGTCTTGTTCTTTATTTAAAGGTGTTACCAGAACACAGCTGTGGGGCAGGACAATCTTATGAACTAGCTGGGAATTGGGCCCATAACCTTTTTCATCATAATGGCCTCTGATCAGCTAACAGAGTTGTAACGTGGCAAGTGGTTGGGACGTGGTTTTCTTCCCTAGGGAGTTAAAATAGCAAAGGCTGAGTATGCATAGCCACAGAATAACCTCTGAAAAGTTGCATTAAATTGCAGTCTAGAATTTATCAGGAATCTGACACAGTTTGTAACAGCTAAGGGCCTACATCTTAAAATCAGTCACATCTGCGATTCCCTGAACTCGGCCCGTAGTGGAAAGGTGCTGTCTCAGGTCACAGCAGAAGAAACAGCAGCGTGTGTCACCAGGTTCCCTGCTCCCTGTCAGGTATTTCCTGTTGTCCTGGCAAGCCAGTGCAGGAGAAAAGGGGAATGAAGTTGCAATAAGCAGCCCACCACACTGAGAGAGAGTTCAAGGCAAACAAAACGAACCTGAGCTGGGAAGGAAGAGACCACTTCGCTCTTTCACCCCTCCTTTTCCCACCCTTCTCAGGCATTCAGTGTTGGCTCTCTGAGAAGACAGCTGCCCAGGACCAAGGCACTGACAGTCACAGATCATTAAGTAGCACATGTAGTAAAGGGACCATACTAGGAATCGACCAGCCTGGTGGTGGAGGTAAGAGCCCATGTTCCTGCACCTGACAAGTTGTTCCTGAACATTGCTACCTGACCACAAGTGAAACCCTCAGTAAGGGTGGAGAGGGGAGTACTTCCAGGCACACATCCCTGTGATGTCACAGCCATGCACCAACTTAAACACCGTAGGAAGCTGTTGCCATGTCTTATGCCCAGGGGAGAGGGTAAGTACCAGGGCAAGGAGCAAGGGTTCAGCCCCAGAACTGATGGCAGGATTAAGGGTGCTGACAGTTCCAGTGAAGAAAAGGTAAGGATATTAACACATTTGTGAAGGAAGATGTTCATGGACTACTGAGCTTCTTGCCTCCCTTGCACAAGTCATTTGGGGGGATTGTCCTAGGACAAAGCAACCACAGAGATCAGATGTCAATGTTGTGTAGATGTGGTGATGTTACTTCAAGTAATAATATCTCAAGATGGTAGATCCACTGAGAGTTTTATGGAGTACCAGCGAAAACGGCAGGAGCCCCAGCAGCTGGGGTAGGAAGCAGCTAATGACTGTGCTACTGTTACCTGCAAAGTGACAGGGGATGGTATGGGCAAGGAGCATCCTTCTGATGGGTGACACAGAAACACTCAATTGTGCCCTGAGTGAAATGGGTTGAAATGAGTCACAAAACCCCAGTGTCAGGGC